TTGGTGTTACAGTTGTGGAATTACTAGCGGGAGTGGTAGTGATTGGTATTGGTGTTACAGTTGTGTTCGTATCAGGTGCGGGTTTAATTGAAGTGGTTATGTTTTGATCTGGAGTTGCTGTAATTGTAGTGATTGTCTCCGTTGTGGTTGTTTTTTCTGTGCCATCCATAGTTGTAATTGGAGTTGTTTCGTTGGCTTTATTTGTCGAAAGCGTAGCATTGCTAGATTCTGTAAAATAGTAAAGATATTAATATATAGTTAATTAATAACCCATAAATAATAAAAAAATATAAATAATAATTGAAATAATTATTAAATAAGATAATAAAAAAATCAAATTAATTAATAGAAATTTAATTAATTTTTAAAGTATTGAAATCGCAAAATAATAACAAAATATTTATATGTATGTACTTCAATATATTTCGAACTCTGCAAAAACCGATATCAAAAATATACTTAAATTTTGTTATATTCAAATCGTGCTAAACCACTACTTCCTATTCGAAAAAATGATATGCCTTATCTAAAGTGAGTCATCAAAAGTTCGACTGGCGGATGTATGTAAACTAAATATTAATACAGTTTCAAAACAAGCATATTTTATTGCAAACCAATACATTTTTTTTTGTGTATTTTTAGTGGTTTAATTTTTCCTTTGTTCTCTGTTCCTAGGTACATACATACATATATTTACTGATTGCTATATCAAACTCATTACTTTAATTGAAACTCAAGACATGAACATATGTGTGTAAGAACATGTATTATATCACATAAATTATTGTGACATACCTTGACAGTAAACCGATGAGAATACTCCTGCCAAAAGGCAGCACAAAAGTAAACCTCTCACCGATGATTTCATATTTAATCTGCTCCTCTTAACTTCCGTGTAACTTGGTGGCGTATGCAGCTTTTGCTTGTTGCAATAATTTCCAAAGTGCAGTGAAAAAATATATTTCGCACTTACGTTGTGGGAGTCCCTATGTCGGCTATGCAGCAGTTCTCGTATTACTCAAATCTTCCGATTACCACGAAAAATGTTCTATAACGATACAAAAAAAGAGAAACAATTAAATGCGCAAATATGTAGAGGGGGGTGCAAGCAACAGAACTGTGTGCTGTGAATCTCTCCACCCTTGTATATAAGTGGTTATTATCGCCCTTTATTCTACTCATAACATTATGTTCATTGCGACAACAACAAAATGTATATATCACTTCACAAGTTATTTTATTAAACAATTTATTTACCAATCACTTTAATCCTAAAATCGCAATTATTTGGTAAAAGAAATACCATCAAATTTACTGCATATTTTTCTCAACACTGACAGAATGGTATAAGGCTGATTAAGGCTTTACGATGCTGACAGGCTGGCTGATTACTGCAACTGGACGCAGAGATGCATTTGAAAATACTTCATATAGGGTTGGTTTAACATATTATTTTAATAATATTTATTTTTTTAAATTATAAATATAAATTATTATAAAACCACAGCCAATTATTTTTATTGCGTATTTTTTAATTAAGCATATAAGAATGCTTATAAACATATCAAAGTTTTTAGGGCATTTTTTAATTTTAGATTGGAAAATTCTGCATACTTTGTTCCGCTTTTACATCGAGAAATGTTTTTCCCCGCAGAGAGGGTTGTTTTATCAGAGAACGTAAATATTTTTGGGTTGGCAACTAAGTAATTGCGGATTTCACTTATAGATGGCTTCAGTTGAATTTTTAGGTTTGCCGGCGTAGTCCAAATCATGGTATAAGCAGAGAATGTTAATTATTTACATTAATATTTATTAACATTCTCTGGTATAAGGGAGTAGCGAAAGTCCAATTCACAGTAGTTTCGCCATCTCTGAGGCGTACGTTCACCCTTTACGATGGTCCAAATGAAAAACAGATGTAGTTATTTGATAGTTGGCAATTCAGCTGTCAATCAGTAAAAAAAGTTTTTTGATCGGTTGCGTAGTTTTCGTTTGGCGGTCGTTGAAAAATGGATGATCAAAAGGAACATTTTCGTCATATTTTGCTTTTTTATTTTTGCAAAGGGAAAAACGCATCGGAGGCTCACAAAAAGTTATGTGCTGTTTATGGCGACGAAGCCATGAAAAAACGGCAGTGTCAAAATTGGTTTGCCAAATTTCGTTCTGGTGATTTTTCACTCAAAGCTGAAAAACGCTTTGGTCGTCCAGATGAAGTTAATGACGACCTAATCAAAGCAATAATCGTTTCGGATCGTCACAGTACGATACGGGAGATTGCAGAGAAGTTTCAGGTATCAAATACATGCATTGAAAATCACTTAAAACAACTTGGCTATGTTCAAAAACTCAATACATGGGTTCCTCACGAACTGAAAGAAACGCATTTAACGTCAAATCGTACCTGATTCAGTTTTTTGCTAATAAAAACCAGAAGTTTTATGAACGTGGGATTATGATGCTGCCTGAAAGATGGTAAAAGGTCATTGATCAAAATGGGCAATACATTACAGAATAAAGTTATTTAATTCCATGAAAAAATTGTCTTTGATTTAAAAAAAAAATCCGCAATCACTTAGTTGCCAACCCAATATATAACCATTTACGTTCTCTGGTTATACAATATTGATATATAGTACATATAGCTAATATAATAATGAGATATATTTAGTACGATACGTGCCCGGGTCAAGGAGCGGATTGGTACAGGTTCTTTGGTTCTTTCTCTTTTTACAACAGATTATATCAGGACGCAATATTTAATATTTTTTTAGCATAAAATTTTGACCCTCAATGGACCGAAATGCTGAGCGCAACATTTGGTAATGGCATCCAATTCGATACATACTAAAGCAATACAATAAGCTTGAGGGAATATTTCCAGCCTTTCCCAGCGCTATTGAAGTGTGTGCAGAGGCACTGACGTATAAAGTCTTCGATAGTGCTTAACCAGACTGTCACTGTTTTTAATTTGTTTCAATTCACTTTTTATACCCTGAACAGGATATCTTACGTTTGCCATGAAGTTTGTAACACTCAGAAAGAAACGTCGGACGCGCTGAGTTGATTTAGCCATGTTCGTCTGTCAGTATAAGTATATGCGAACTAGTCCGTCAGTGTTGGAGATATCGATCTGAAATTTTGCACACGTCCTCTTCTTCCCAAGAAGCTACTCATTTGTCGGAAACGCCGATATAGGACCACTATAGCATATAACTGCCGTCAAAGTCAAGTACTTCTATGGAAAACTGTTTTATTTGACGAGATATCTTCGCAAAATGTGGCATGAATGATTATCCAAGGCAACGGCATTATCTTTGAAAAAATGTGGAAAACGGTTGGCCTCAAGGGCCATCCCTGCAACTTCCCTCTAATTTCATACGCTAACGTTCAAATTTCGCTTTTTTCACTGCTTTTGAGCTCTTCGAAATTTTTCGTTTTCGATATCTAGCAAGTAAATCAACCGATTTCGACCCGGTTTGCGGCAAACGATGTGTTTCTTCAAGGTTTAGAACTGATTAGTTTTTGGTGTCGATCGGTCAAGTCGTTTGGATCGAACGATTTTTCAAAATTTTTATTTTTGAGATTTCTCGAAATCTACTGGTCCGATTGGGTCCAAACTTACACGAAATTCAAGTGCAATGAAACCCTTTGGAATGCCGTTTAGTTTATTCAAATCGGTTGAGCAGTTTAATAGTTAGAAGAGGGTCACATACATCCACACACACACGCATACATCCACACATACATACAGACATACGGACATCATCGTAGAAATGTTCGGGGAAGCTTCCTCGATCCTCAGAACGTCGAGATCTGTTGAGAACTCGATTTTTGCAAAATGGGGTGAAATCAATATCTTCCCGATTTTTAGAAAATTTTCCATTTTCTTAGCGGGAAGTTAAAAAGTATACAGATCGAAATACTATATTCCATACAAACTCACTGATTAAATTAAGTGTTCTTGTATGGAAGCTTTTTTATTTGTGAAAGGTACAACCGAAGCTAACGTTGTCTCTTGGTAATACTCAGGTACTCGTGGTACAGTGTAGATCCGGCTGTCATGGGAATACAGCTTAGACCTTATTCTTTCTGTATGTATGCGTTGCAGTTCTATCACCTCATGGTAGTTGCTATTATAACAGCAATAACGACATTATTGTTGAAGGCGGGGCTGCGTGTTATGATCCGACCACTGTTTTGCATGCCATCAGTGATCGTTTTGTACCTCCCTTTGCTTTATATAGTGATAGGTGGAAACTACTGAAACTAACTATATAATTCCAAGCTTCTAAATCACCTAAATAAGACAAATGTTGCAATTTTGCATTATTTTCCATTACATGTAAACTTTATTTCTTTAGTTTAGGTGACAAGCAGAAAAAATCCGAAGTTTATGTTTTAAACCGATAACTTCAGCTGCTGTTTTAAATAAACGTAAAATACAATTTGCTTTTAAAATAAGTTTAATTAAATAATTCAATCACGTTACGATTTGTTCAAATCGTAATGACGTTAAAATATATGTTGTTATTCGGACATCACACCGTTTGCTTGCTATACTTTTTTTTAGTTCTATATGCATACATATTAATTTTTCATAGTAGATTTACTACAATGTGCACGCTGCAGTTTGTTTTTTTTTTTTCTCATAAAATGGACAAAAATTCATCGATAAATTATTTCTTATTTTTTGTATTTTGTTATATTTGTTTTTGTCTTATTTATAATTTTCTGTGTATTAAAAATTAAATTCTTATATACTTTTGAATGCGTGTAAACTATTTGCCTTACTTGCACCATCAATAAACTTCAAAAATCGCGAAATATTAAGCAATTGATTGGCTTGCATGCACTTTCGACCAAATCCCCAAGTGCCTCTATATATGCACATATGTATATTAGGGTGTCTGTTATTTCCCACGTTGATTGATATTTTTTGTAAACACTCACTGAAGTTTCAATTTTTGCTCTAAAAAATGAAATAAAGAATGCAAAGTAAACAAGCTCTTTATTTTCAACAATGCCTAAATCATTTAACTTTTTCCACGTTATTCTAATAAAAAATGTTACGCTCTTTAAAAAATAGTCAATATTTGGTTTTTTTAAAAAGCATTTCTTTTGAAGTTATGTGCAGTTAAAGCTATCCATCATATGTAATGCGTTCATACAGTACTCCATGTCGTATGAGCAACACAGAATATTTAAATCACTTGTGTGAAAGTTCAGTACATTTGACGTATAACTTTGACTGTGTATAACTTCAAAGGAATGATAAAAAAAAAACAATCAATTTGGAAATAACGGACACTCTAATGTTTATATATTTTTTTCAACTCCATAACAGTGATTTGCTGCTGCTATTTATACAATGTATGTATGTATGTATGCCTTTATAACTCAAGGACTACCTTGAAATTTGAGTTATATTTATAATTGTATTGTTTGCGGTAGACTATAGTTATATAGGTAGTAGGTAAATTGAGTGTAGCAAATCAAATTACAAAAATCAAATTCACTAAATACACACATCTACCAAATATCGCTATTATTTTATGGAAATACCAGTTTAATTGGGGGAAAATGCACTATTACGTCTGCATTGCTTAAGTAAATTTCAAATTGCTGTAGGTATTTACATATACGGGTAGGTGTGTGTGTGCGTAGTAGATGTCGCCGGTACAAACACAATGTTCCAAATTTTCGTTGAGTGCTTAAGTATTCTTCATATTGCTGCTGGAATTTGAGCAAATTAATGCGTTTATTTCTTTATAAGCTAATGTAGCATATTCCATATATTATATGTATGCGTATGTATGTATGCATGCTTTGCGTATGCAGCAAGAAGTTATAGTTAATGAGCGAGTGAGCGTTGATTGTTGTAATGTAGTACGTACAGGTAAATCTTTGTTTATGTTTAAATCGTTGTGGTTATCCTTGAAATGTAACATTTCGCCATTTTAACCATATCTGTTGCAAAATCAGTTGCTGGTCATTATTTATAGTACATTTTAAATTTATTATTATAATGCTCGTGTTTCTAACTAATCATATATATATTTTTTTAGCGAGCTATTCGTCTTTCATACGTTTGCATAATCTAATATCTCGACCAGTTTAACTAAATGTTGAAGTAAACCGATAATTCTTAAAAAAAAATAATAATCATAACGTTCAAGTCAATTCGAAATCCATTTCATTCCATAATCGAAATAACAGTTTTCTTGTTTTCTTGCGGTAATTTGTTTTCTATCTCTGCAGTTCTGCTGTTTAAGAAAAAAATTTAATCACTGACACTGTTTTTTTTTTTTACTCCTTATATACGGACGTATCCATAGGACTGGCTGGCTGTGCAAAAGAAGTGGATGAGTTGGTGTTTGTTGGCGTAAATGCAGACAACGACAAATTACTGGTATTCATGCTATTCGTTAGATTAGTGGACGAATTATTGATACTAATATTCATTGGATTGGAAGCCTGCTGCAGTGACGCAGTGCCACTGTTTATAGTAGTAGAGCCGCTGATGCCCAAACCCATGTTGTTGCTGCCATTATTGCTTATGAGCAATGCGGCACTGCCACTCGCACCGCCGCCAATACTTAAACGTTCTGCATTCAAATTCTGTAAGAAACCACCAGTGCCGCCAAAAAGCGTGGAAGAGTTTAAAGCGGCGCCAGTTAAACTGGGATTTGTACCGCCACCGCTACCGCCGCCACCACTAACAGCTGTGCCCAAAAGCGAACTGCCACTGAGCACATTAGGAGCTGAAGTGTTGAGACCCAGCATGGGTGTGGGTAATGCTGGTTTAATGAAACGTTCACTGGCACGGCGATTCTGAAAAAATTTAAAAAAAATATATGTTTACGCTGAAATAAAATTCTCTGTAATAATAACTCACCACAATTTGACCACAGGCATAACAGCGATTCTGGTGTACTGAACCTGGACTAAGTGGTCGGCTATTCGATGGACTATGCGATACCGGGCTGCTAATCGTGCGTTGACGTGTGTTCACAGCACCAGCAACTGCATTTCCCAAACCACCAGCGGTGCCAACGGTGCCTAATAGATTTTCATTGTAGAATCGTTCCTCATCCATTTCAAGCGATGATTCCGATTCGGACAAATGGCGACAGAGTGCTTCACGTCGTTCTACTTCCAGTTTCAATTTGCGCTGTAAACGTGCATTTTCTTCGCGTATGCTCTTCTCTTCTTGTGCAAATTGTTGTAATTTTATAGTGGCCTCCTTTTGTGCTGCCGCCAGATTGGAACGCAATCGTACTACTTCGGAACGTAAAGTCTGTATGTGAGCGCTTAAATTAGAGGCAGTGTCACCATTGGCATTGGTTATATCACGTGGTGTAGTTGGATCGGAAACTGGTTCATCCAGTTTAATTTGCAACAAACGCTTTTCGGTCTCTAGTTTATCCATACGTTTCCAAAGTTTATTAACTAAGGCTTCCTGTTCTTGTTCCAATGTATTTTCTAATTCCACCATTTCTCTACGCAATTGCTCTAAGTTGGTTTGTTTATTATCTGTTTCGGCTTGTAGCTTCTCAATTTTACGCATTAGCTTGTTTACAAGACATTCCTGCTCCTGCTCGAGAGTTTGCTCTAGCTTGCATTTCTCTTGCCGTAGCTGTAAAATTAAAAAAAAATGTAAATTAGTTACATTATTGCAAATTGCGATTTAAAAAAAATATACCTGATCTAATTTACGCGATAAATCATTGGTTAAGCACTCCTCTTCACGTTCGTAATGGTGTGCTAAAGTCTCCTTCTCTTTCTTTAAGGCTTGAATTTTCTTTAGAAGTGTATTCGATATGTACTCCTCCTCCTGTTCCGCTTTCGCTTGCTTTATTGATATATGAAAAGGTTGTGTGTAAAAATTAATAATAACTTTTGGGGAATTTATATCTTACGATTATAACAGATGCTTGCTTGAGTGTACGATTCTCCTCCTGCACCACTTTGCATTTAATCTTAAATGTATCTAGTTCAGCCTTGAGTACTCTGAAAGATAAACGATCAAGTTATTAGCAATTAGGCTAGTTTTTTGTCAAATAATTGTTTAGGTATAAAATTCATACTTATTTTGTTGTGTCAATGATTCGATGCGTTTTTGCAACTGCTCTCGCGACACTGGACTGGGTGGAAGCATAGTACCTCCGTCTAGGGAGCTTTCCGATTCACAAGGACTCTCCATAACTGTAAACATAAGTAATTAAATAAAATTATCTTCATATCATAATGCAGATAATTATTAAATTTTTCTTATATTGAACATTTGAGTTAAAAATTGTATTAAAATCGAACAGTTGTGTCTGTAATGTTAAATAATTTTTTTCACAAAAGGTTAATGACCCCAAATTACATAAAGGGAAGATGAAAACAATTTACGTCGATTTTTACTATTGCATGAATAAAAATAATCTCGTCAACGTACAAATAATTCATGCAAAAAAAAAAATAAAATTTATTAAATTATTTACGATGTTGTTTATGCGCTTAAAGAATCTGATTTTTTAATAATAAAGGAAATTTGGCAAACAATGATATGCTATTAAACGAAATTATTGCTGCGGATTTATTATTTTTTCGAATCTCAAATTACCACTCTCCTTCCACGGTAAATGAACTTTTAATACTTTAAAAATTGAACAGAAAATCTAACCATACTTATATATATATGTAAAAACAAGCATGTATATAATACATATATTTATATGTCGTTGTTTCTTTATCATTCCTTGCATCTATATGCCGAGAACAAAGGCATCCCGGTCGAAAGCGGTGACGACTTTGCCTACGCTAAATCATATACATATCTATGTATATAAGCATATACATTTCTACAGCTGTATGCATAAATATGTACATCAGTATTTACCACTCTAATTTTATCAGCTGTAATGCTTGTTTTCATAATTCTCAAATAGTCGAGTTTTTAGTCAATTTAGCATAACGAAATGTGAATTTCCCTCATATCAATGATGCGACTATACTGACACCTCTTCACCCTCCATAAACTTTGTAACTCCACATTTGAGTGCATACACAACCAGCTTGTCGAGTTCACGCCCCATGCATTCAATGGTCGCAACTAAAGGATACTTTTTTTTGGCTAACGACGCAAGTATATATGTTAGAACGATATGATTAACTTTTTCTTGCATCTGCATTTGTTCATTTTATTATTAATTTACTCACCTGAATATCACCTTTTACGACTAACTAGAAATATTGCGGCTCTGCAATTTTTTTGCTGTTCCCTTTCAGTCTCTTTTTTGCTTTTGCCTTTCTTTTCAAACTTTCAATCAAAATTTAAACAGATAATTGCTTTGTAATAATATATGGATTTTGTAATATTTTAGCAGCAATTATTCAGCAATATTGACAAATATTGAATTCTTTTCCTTTAGTAGCTCCGAGCTCCAAATAAATCGAATCCGACACCAATTTGCTTTGCAAATTTTGTTCGTTTTTTGCCGTTTCCTTTTCAATGATAGTTGCTGAGCTGATGACGACTGGACAGAGTTACCAAGTCACATAAATTAGTATTTTAGACCCTTTTCACACACTTCAAAATTATAATTTGGAATTGTTCATTAGTTTATTTACGTTATTATAATTTAATTTTATAAGATTTGACGAAAAACACTTCATTTACACACTATTAACTTTACTATAAAATTATGTGTATTTTTAAATTTAGGAGCATTCTCCCAATTTTAGATTGTCTTTTAATTGTTTGTAATACTTCGAAGTACAAGTGACATTCGCGTGTTTTCGTTGCGACTAAAAAAATATTTTATTAAAATAGTAATAATGTGAATATTTAGATATAAAAATTGACAACTATGAAGTGGTAGAACAGTTCATAATAGTGGAACTATGACTTTGAAAGAATGAATGTTAATTTCATCGATACAAACGAAGAGGCAATAATAATTTAGTATAGCTTACCATATTAGATATTTATTGACTATTAAGCATGTATGTATATGCTATCAAGAAGCGCTGTAGTTCAAATCGAATACTACTCGATAAATTGACCCGATTGCTATTGGTTTTTAAAAGTCGACGAAAGGTACATACCCATAAACTGTCAGCAATAAAAACAATATTGATATCTTTACACGTGCGGCAGCATAAATTCCTACACAGCGAATTATTTAATTCAATAATAATTTATATAGCATCGATATGCCAGAGGAGGATGGCATGGATAAAAGGAAATCCCATCGCGCGCGACAGGCCGGCGTGAAAGCGGAAAAGAAAAAGTTGAAGACTAAAAAAGATTCGAGTAATACTAAAGAACCTAATTTGACCGCACGTCAAAGGAATCCAAAAGCATTTGCTATTAACTCTGCGCAACGTGCTGAGCGTAATTTTCGACGTAAAGAGGATTTAACAGCTAAAAAGCAACACATTCCTGTTGTCGACCAAACGCCCGATGAACCACCACCTGTGCTAATAGCTGTCGTCGGTCCACCTAAGGTGGGCAAAACGACTTTAATAAACAATTTGATAAAGAATTTCACGCGTACAAATGTTACTGATATACGTGGTCCCATTACAATAGTGACATCGAAAAAGCGACGTATCACCCTACTGGAATGCAACAATGATATCAATTCCATGATTGATGTGGCAAAATGTGCTGATTTGGTATTGTTATTATGTGATGCCAGTTATGGTTTTGAAATGGAGATTTTCGAATTTCTCAATATTTGTCAAGTGCATGGTATGCCCAAAATTATGGGTGTACTAACACATTTGGATATGATTAAGAATCCAAAACAATTGCGGAAGCGCAAGAAGGAATTGAAACATCGTTTCTGGACCGAAGTTTATGATGGTGCCAAGTTGTTCTACCTCTCGGGTTTGTTACATGGCGAATATTTGCGTAATGAAGTGAAAAATTTGGGTCGTTTCATTTCGGTTATGAAATTCCGACCGTTATCATGGCGTGGTGCGCATAGCTATTTGCTTGTGGATCGTGTCGAAGATGTTACCAATACCGATACAATACGACGTAATCCTAAATGTGATAGAGAAATCGTGCTGTACGGTTATGTGCGTGGTGTGCCGATAAAGCAAGAACATTCGGTGCATATTGCCGGCTTGGGAGATGCGAGAATCGAAGAACTGAGCGCTATTCCCGATCCTTGTCCACTGCCAGGCACTGAGAAGAAACGCAGCCTTTTGGAAAAAGAACGATTATTGTATGCACCTATGTCCGGTGTTGGTGGAATAGTGTACGATAAAGACGCTGTGTACATAGAACTACAAGGATCACATAGTCATAAAGTGAAAACTGGTGACGCTGCTGAACAGGAGCAGTTGGTGGAGAAGCTTATAGATAAAAAGCAAACCGTGGATATGCAAATTGAAGAACAAGAATTTCGCCTATTCTCTGATGGTTCTGCCATTAAATCGAAAGACTACAAGGAGGACAGTGATGTAGCTGACGTAGAAGAAGAAGGAAGTCAAGATGTAAGTGTGTAGTGTATTGTCAAGTGAAAATATCTAAAAAAGCACATATTATTTGTAGGAGGATTCTGGTTTAGATGATGAGGACGATATGAGTGTCAATAGTGACGATGAGTTTGGTGGCGACGATTGGCGTGGCGAAGATAGTGAAAAAGAACAGCCAGATAGCGATAATAATACGTCTGACGATGAGGAATATCAGACTGTAGAGGAACAGGAGTCCAAGGGCAAGCTTAGTGTGTTTGAAGACTCTGATCAGGATACAGATATTGAACAAGAGGAGGCAAAAATTCTAGCCAACAGTATGAGTTGGAAAGAGAACTTAGCACAAAAGGCGCGCGATTCGTTTTTGCTACGGCATTCGGAGGCTAAGAACATAATGCGCTTGGTATATGGTTGCTACAGCCAAAATGAAAGCAAGGTAATTTTTAATTTCCTTAATAAATAAATGTAGATAAGCAATTACCGTTTTTTTTGCAATGTTACAGAAAAACAAAAACCTAGAAGAGGACAAAAACGATTTAGATTCGGACGAAGAATTGGGTGGACTCTTTAAAGTAGCCGCTAAAAAGCAAAGCGACATGCAAATGGATAAAGACATACGAGATAAAATGGAGCAATGCTTTTTCGAAGACTTTTCCGGTAGTACGCGCAATTGGCTGGAAGATGACAACAAAGCGCTTTTAAAAAATTGCTTTGTCACTGGCAAATGGAAGGCTTCAGAGGATGCCGAAACGCTGTTGCGCTTAGATGACCTTAGCGATGCTGAAAGTGAAGTTTATGGTGATTTTGAAGATCTCGAAACTGGCGAAAGGCATGCCGGCACCAGCAAAGCGCAAGATATTGCAACAGAAGAAACTGCCGCTGACAACCCAGGTTTTGCTAATCAAGATGAAAACACGCGTAAGCGTCGAATGACCAGAGTTGAAGAAGAAAATCTAACCAAAGCAGAGCTTATGGCAAAAAAACTGAAACTTAAAGCTAAATTCGATGCCGAGTATGACAATCATGATGGGCCAAAAGATGACGATGGACGCATTACGGGTGACCATGATTATTACGAAAGCTTAAAAGCGGATGCACAAAAGCAATCAGAGTTGAACAAAAGCGAATTCGCAAATCTCGATCCCGAACTGCGTTTACAAATCGAGGGTTATCGGCCGGGGCTTTATGTGCGTTTGGGTAAGTGTTTTAAGTTCTTTTTATTGAATTATTTGTATATTTGATTACATTAAATTTTAGGATTTCGTGGCATATCTTCGGAGTTCATAGAAAACTTCGATCCCAGTTATCCCGTACTGGTAGGCGGCCTCAATATGACCGAAGAAAATATCGGTTATGTTAATTGTAAAGTGAAGAAACATCGTTGGTACAAGAAAATATTGAAGACCGGCGATCCGTTAATCATCTCGTTGGGCTGGCGGCGCTTCCAGACCGTGGCAATATACGCCAAAGTCGAGGATAACTTCCGACACCGCTATCTTAAGTATACACCAAACCATGTAACGTGCAGCATGACTTTCTGGGGGCCAATTACACCACAAAATACCGGTTTCTTGGCGCTGCAAACTGTACGCCACGATCTCGATGAAATGAAGCGTCTCGGTTTTCGTATTGCGGCTACGGGTAGTGTTAGCGAATTGGATAAATCCGCACAGATTATGAAAAAACTGAAGTTGGTCGGTCAACCCTTCAAAATCTACAAGAAATCCGCATTCATTAAGGGCATGTTCACAACCGGATTGGAGGTGGCCAAATTCGAGGGCGCCAAAATAAAAACTGTCTCCGGCATACGTGGTCAAATTAAGAAGGCGCACCATGATCCCGAAGGCTCATTCCGTGCCACGTTCGAGGATAAGATACTTCTGAGTGATATCGTGTTCTGTCGCACATGGTTCCGCGTGGAGGTACCACGTTTCTATGCAGCGATCACCTCGCTACTACTACCGCCGGAGCAGAAATCGCAATGGCAAGGCATGAAGACGTTGGGTCAGCTGAAGCGCGAACGCAACATACAAAATGAAGCGCAACCGGACAGCCAGTACACGGAGATTAAGCGTGAACCGAAAATCTTCAAACCGCTTACGATACCCAAAGCACTACAGCGTGCGCTGCCGTATAAGGACAAGCCGAAGGTGCGAGCGTTGGCCGATAAAAAGAAGGAGGAGTTGGAACGTATAGCTGTGATACGCTCACCACATGAACAGAAGGTGGCCAAGATGATGAAAATGATAGAGACCAACTACAAAGCGAAGCGAAAACGCGATAAAATGGAAACGAAGACACGGCTCAAGCAATTCCGTGCCGAGAAGCGTGTGGAGGAAGCGCGAAAGATGAAGCGTCAGAAGGAGGTGCGTAAGAAGGTATCACGCGCCATAAGTAAAATGCGTAAGAAGGAAGAGGCCTAAGGAGCACCCACACAAACCCTTATGTATACGCTTGTACATAAACTAGAAACTCTTTAATTGTTTTTTACCTTAAAAATAATAAAAGTCAACTAATTTTCATAAAATATTGTTAGTTTGTATTTGCAAAGTATATAAATCACACCGCAAATGTCACTTGTATTCGGTTTATTTTTTGTTTTGTTTGAAAAGCTTAACTAAAGCTCAACATGCGTGTTCTTCAATCCTGACTTTTGTTGTCGTCGATCGCCTTGAGCGCGGCGAGCAGCTTATTTTTGCGGCTGCTGGGCAAACTTTGGCCTGGAGAGACATTGCCTCGCTTTTTAGGCGTTTCCTCCAAGAGTACACCGCTATTAGCCTGTCGGCAGAATGTGTCGAGGAACGCCTCACGCTCTCTGTAGTCGTGCGAGATTTGCTTGCGTATGCTGGAAATCTCCTCCTTCATGTGCGAGGTCTTCTTGGCTGTATTACAAATCTTTTAATTGGAAATGTAAAAACTATTTAATATCTTGGAAAATTAAAGCGTGGTTTTAAGATCAAGAATAATTAGTTCTCAATTTGATTAAAGGCTCCCGAAAAGAATTTGGGGAATACTGCCAAGTTGGCAGTCCCCGACCGGATAAAACTCCAGGTCCCTTCCGGTTACGTGGGCCTAATTGTCGTGGGCACACTACTGTTGTTGTTACAACGGTTATCCCGACGCTGTTTGGCTGGCAAGGCGTAAGCCTGGTCATCTAACGGAAGGACCAGAAAACATGCTGTTTTGACGGGCTCGGACTATAAGAAGAGGGATGTTAGTTGAGTTGATTTCATAGGACAAGCAAAGAGGGGCTTAAAGTCATGTGTGGACTCCTCCATGCAGGTCATATATTTGGTATTTCCGGGTCGATTCTGAATAAGTACGTAGAGTTTAACCTACTACAGTA